CATGCGCAACACATGTCTCAACCAGCGTAGTCTATTTAGGGTGACCATTTGCTTCAACTGAAGGCTGCGACGACCTGAAGCTCCGCGCCTAACGTCAACACTATTTGTCCGGTTTCCCCACCAGACTCGTGCAATGCGACGTGTCCCAACACTGACAATCTATTTTTATCTTGCTCCCGTTACAGCCAAGTCTTTGCACCGTATGGTAGCAATGGCCGAACGGCTGCTACATACACTCGATCCTTGCCCAGCGGTGAACGAAACGAATCGAAATGGGAACGGTTCGACAGCTGTCAATTCTGCCTAGTTCCGATTATCTCCAAAAGAACAAAGTCAAATATTCCAAATTTAATACTTTCCCATTGTTTCTTCCTGCATCAATGGTTTTCCAAGAGATGGCCGACTCGGTCTGCTGTGGCGTTCTGACGTGCAATTCTCGCGTCCCCTGTGCTGTCCCAGTAAATTATTTCAAGCTGGGATACATTTTTCAAAACATCCTAGCATTTCAGACAAATTATTTCGGAATTTCCCAGTGATCAGCCAACGGAAAAATCGCTGCGTCCAGCATTTTGGCATATCGGTTTAACTGCAGTAAAATTTCAGCATTGTTAAGAACCCCCCTTCAGGATCGCATCACATTTATTTGCGGGTATAATTAGTAATGCATTGAAAATTTTGAGCTTATGCAAGGTTCCTGAAATAAATTCCCTCGGAGGTTATATGGTTGTGAATTCCTTGTGACTTGGCTGAACTGAACACCATAGGATATTCTAAGTTCTTGCTCGATTGAAGTGATAATTCCTTATGTGATTTGATGGTACGCTATTCTAAATCTCGTGTAAGCATTAAAAAACCCGAAAGTGGGTGTGGAGGTTGGCGATGATTCTGCATGGATCGAAAGACGTGCATTAAGACACCGAGAAACCTGATTGGTGAAGGGACGAAATCCGGGTATGGAGATTTTTGGGTGCGATCGACTGACAGGACTGAAGGTTGTAGGAGAAGATAAAGTTTGAGGAATGGGTAATTAAACGAGATTTTAAACCACAACTCAAAATCAAATGTGAGCAGAAAATGCGGCCTAAATTCGGTTGATCTCTGAGGCAAATCGGACAAACAAAACACTGGAAACAGACGTAATTACGATAGTCGGCTATAAAGGAATTGCTGATTACAGTTACGGTCATTTCAGATAGCCTCACAGACAACAAATTGCAACGAACAAATTAGCTTAGCAGAACCTGAAGTGGAGAAAACCTGCAATTGTTCACTTTCGTCCCAGTTGCATAAAACTGGCTATTCCTCAAAGTATAAAGAATGGTTAGTCTGTATATTTGGATAACTTTCTTGCTAAATCATCGTGAAAAAGTCACTGACATCGGTGAAATTTTCACTAATGCATCGCTGCTACCTATACCTCTGCGCCGTGCATACAGCACAATGTATACTCCATCAGCTGAACTACGAGATCAAACCTACGATATTAGGGAGAACCAAAAGTGAAAAGACCGTAGCGGTTGATGTGATTTCGTAGCTCAGTTGGTGTAGTTTACGATGGAAGAAAGGCGGGATCCGCACGCGGGCTTGAGTCCTTCTAAAACCCAAGATATTTTTGCAATTGTATTACATAATAATAATAGTAATAAACCGGCTTTTATTTGAACTATTGCACAGGGGTTGCATACGTGGCATATTACCTGTAAATGTGAGTACAGTTGTGCTGACACGTTAGAAAAACCAACAGATTTTCGACACTGTACGCGGTGTAATGAAAAGGAACAGCTCTCATCAACTGCAGCAGTCTCCTGTCGCAGTTTGGACATTAATATATGGTGTGACGTATTCACAGTCACACCTCAGCCAGAAGGGCCTCATGCATATATAGTAAACAGCTCTTTATTTTTCTGCATAACCCGTTACATCTCCCTCTGGCACTCGCACTTTGGTCCGCATCACCACCCAAAGTTTCGTGTAATCTATGGCAGTATCAGTCTAATTTTGTATAAACTGACATCATCAGTGATTTTTTACGCATTGGATTACTGCATATGAGTGCCCCAAGATTGTCAACGTTGACAGGATTTCCCATTTCTAAGGTACATTCAGGGTGCCGTTCAATATATCAAATCTCATTCAGGCACATACGGCAATCTGCCGTTTTCTTCGGCAGCTCAATTCCCGTGATTAAAGTCACAAAATGATCACCCGGGAGAACGCGTCTTGGAATCCCACCGCCTGATTTTCCCAATTCTGTTTTATGACAGTCCTTAGATTAACTACTTCCTCCTTCCTGGAAATCATGTCTTTGCATAGTAAATAGAAATAAAAAAGCCAACCCTTGAAACCTTTTGCTCCCTGATGTCACTCACCGCTCCCCTTTCTCTTTTACAAATTACTACGGCTAATGCATGCATGTAGGACAACTGTAAACACCTTGACCCAGCACAATCTACCGGGTGGACATATAAGAACGGTGTATGGGATAAGATGCCACTTTTGCATCATCGTCATACGTACGTGGTGTTGACAGTCGTGATCTTTTGTGGTAGACCCAGCGCATGGTATTCGACCTGAACACCCGTTATATGCTTCTTCGTTAGCGAATCAAACGGAGCTACCAGTGGCACGTGGAATCTTGGGGTCATCTTTTTAAAACCATCTGCTACAGAGAAAGCTCATCAACGGGTCAACAATATGCTTGTATATTTGTCCTCTGTCAGCCAAATTACCATACGTCAGTAAGGCGGACACAGAGTGCTTGTCTTTGCTCTGCCTACCTCAAAGCTGACTTTAAGCATTGCTATGCTTACGCGATTCCTGAGCGGACATTTGCACGCTAATCGTGTATAACCCTCTTGTCACAGGCTGATACCTTCTATTACCGTTCTATGCCTGTCTAAGAACAAGGATCTTCTTAACACCTTTCCGCTATTTGGAATCCTCAACATATGTTCACTGGAATAGTGCACAGATGCTAGACTTTCCGAAGGGTTGCTACTCCTTACCAACCTTAAAGAAAGAGGAACAATGTAGCGATATTATTATGCTTTGTCCCATTTTGTATCTCTGCATGAAGCACCTTTTTTGTGACA